ACGTATACGTCCCACTGCCCCTGAAAGGGTTAAGGGGCTCCAATTCCCCCACCTTCCCCTACATTGATTTAGAAAAAGGAACATCTCTATTTGTCAATTTATTGATAAGATGACGAGACTTTTAAAAGAAACTTGAGAATTCAATTTCTGAAGCAAGCAACTACCGCCCGCATGACAGTGAGTGTTTCCTCTTATCCACAACGACCAGCTTGCAGATAACATAGGGCGGAATAGCTTCATCACAAATTAGAATAACAAAGATTTTAATGACAACTTTCTGCATGTTTTTGTTAAAAATGAACCACCATTGCCCCACCCTTAGTTCTTTTTAGATAAACCTTAATTTCTTTCATTCAAATCAGTAGAAATACAAAAATAATAAAATATCTTTTACATCAAATTGATAAAATTAAATTTAAAAATAAACATTTATAAAATATTGTTCCTATTATTGACATTTTTATAATTTATTAATACATAATTAATATTACCCGCCTTTATTTATTTATTTCAAAACTAATGCCTTTATATACATTAAAATACATCTTTTTTAGAGTCTACATCATCTAAAAAATTCAATTCCTCCCTGACCAAAGCTGTTAAAATTTACATATCATTGATTTTTTTTAAAGCAAGTGTAATTTTAACATAGCTATTTATATAATGATATAAAATTTTTTGAGAACTTGTTAAAGTGGACATTTTTCAAAAGAATTTAGAATCAACACGTATGAACAAGCTGATACAAGGAGCAACCCCGGCGTCAGTCATTCATTTAGTTGAAGGTGGTAGAAAGAGGATGAGTAACACCCTTCTTTCTCACCCAACAGCAGATCGATACAATTCCAAGTTCCCGACTTTAGTTATTATACATTCCTACCATACACTACAACAAATCCTACTCTTTTCATTTTATTTTTTAATCTCAAAATTCTCACTCATTTCTAAATTATATTAACAAAAATAAACACAATAGATTTTTTTAAAGATAAAAACTTCATGAAATTTATAATTTTATTAATTTTAATCTATGATGGAATATTGCTTCCTAATGGAGGAAGCATTATAATACAGAAATTTTTCTAACTTGATTTTTTGATGTTTATGTTTTTCGAACTCAGGAATCCAAAAATCACATTTTTAAAAAATGTCGTTGTGTGTGTGTATGTGTATGTATATATACACTACATTTTCTTAAATATCTCGAGTACTATAAGACCCATAGTAAATATTGTCACCCAAAGGTGGCCCGACTATGGCTGCCAACGTCGGCAGCCCTAGTTGGGCCGACTGTGGGGGATAATGGTCGGCATGACTTGGGCAGCCACAGTTGGGACAACCTTGGCAGCCACAGTTGCTCTCTAAATCTGAATCAGTAGAAATTTTACTAATTCAATCAGTAATTTTCATTTTAACTGAAGTTTCAGTTATTTTTTGAAATTTACTAATATAATTAGTGAATATATAAGCAATAGAAAATAACTTATGTAAATCAGTAATTTGTATATAACATAACCTTTAAAATTAACTGTTAAATCAGTAGATTTTGCGGCCGCTGCCATATGTTTATATTACTGATTCAATCAGTAATTGATATTTTACTAATTGAATCAGTAAATTTCTACTAATTATCAATTGCTCAATTCTCGCTATGGCAATTAGCAGATTTCTACTGCTAATCAGTGAAATGTGACTGGTTCAGATTTAGAGAGTGGACCAACCTTGGCCGCCCTAGTTGGGCCGACTATGGAGAACAATGGCCGCCATAACTTGGGCACCCACAGTTCGGTCGACTATGGTGAACTATGGTCAACATGACTTTGGCAGACACAGTTGGGCCGACTGTGGCATATAATGGTTGTTTAAATAATTAAAATATAGATACATGATAATTTAAACGCAAAATTTATTTCAAATTGACTAATTTTCTTATCTAAATAAGTTTTATTTTTATAATAATTTTTTTCCAACGCCAAAGTGATTCGATATAAAAGAAATTGTTCATTATTATTTTATTATAAAATAGAATATTTATTAAATAATTTGAAATAGGTAATTTTTTTTAAGAATTATTTTGTTAATACTATTATATTAACTATTATTATATTAATTTATGATAATTAAAATTTTAATTCTTATTTAAAATTTCTAAAAATACAGTTGGCATAGTCCCCCATAGTCAGGCCAACTGTGGCTCCCATAGTTGGGCCAACCATCGGGCACGACGGTCGGCAGCCTTAGTTGGGCCAACCTTGGTCGCCCTAGTTGGGCCGACTGTGGGATCGTCGGTTGACATGACTTGTGATTTAGCAATCAGAGTTGGGATATACTTTAAACAAAATGGTTGGCTCGTCCTCTGACTGCCCAAGGTGGGCCGACTGAGCACATGGTTGGCCCAACTTGGGGCCGACCGCCAACTCGCACCTCGGGAGCTAAAGGGATACATTTTTTTTAAATTGTAGGTCTCACTGGTGGACAAATAATGACAGTACTTTGAGCAATATTAATAAAGATTAACTATTATTTTTTTGCATTCTAAAATTTTTGAAAAATCATTTTTTGCCCATAAATTTAAAAAAATTTATTGAGACCAATAAATATTTATCTCTAGTTTTGTAGAGTTTTTCAAGACGCATCTTTTGACCTATTAGCGAAAATCCTACAGCTATTTTAACCAGAGTTATTGACATTATGAAATTGAAAAATTTTGAAAAACCTGCCTTTTTTGCCTTATTTATTAAAAAATATTTATGTATCTTTAAAAGCATTATGATCAACTTGGAGATTATTTAAAAATGAATCAATTGACTTATTATTGAACCTTTTATTGTGAAGCATTACGAAGTTATTGATGTTAAAAATCTATCTCTGCAAATATACAAAAATCCCGTGTAGTTTATCGTGCGGCCGTCCTAGTGTTAGCCTTTAGCTAGACAGTGTTTATCGTGAAAATTCATTCTGAAATAACTGCAATGGCCCCTCAAAGTTCATGTGCAGTTTTTATACAGTTTTCCCTTTATTTCCTGAGATATGTAGCCTTTCTAGAATATAGCTAGTTATTGTCTAGAATGCTTACTTGAAAATTTTGTACAAGTTCGTACAGTAGGCTGTTTAGAATTTACCAAGGTGCGGCCTAGGATACCGTCATGAAAAATTAATACAAGTCCGTCAAGCAGGTGTCACTGAATTCACTACAGTAACTAGCTATCAAATATAAAAAATATATTAATTTTTTTATAGAAAATAACGATTTTTTTTATATAACAATTATTTTTTTAACTTTAGACCCGTTTATTTACTTTTTAGGGTTCCGTACTCGGTTCGGAACCCTATTAATATCGGTTTTTTTTGAAATCGTGTACCCCCAGGTGCGAGTTGGCGGTCGGCCCCAAGTTGGGCCAACCATGTGCTCAGTCGGCCCACCTTGGGCAGCCAGAGGACGGACCAACTAGCGAATTGATAACGTCAACTGACCTAGGGTCGACTTGGTTGGCCCAACTATGGGTACCCAAGTCGGGCCAACTGTGGCTGCCCTAGTTGGGCCAACCGTTGGAGAGAACGGTCAAAAGCCACAGTTGGGCCAACTGTGGCTGCCCTAGTTTTGCCGACTGTTGGGGACGACATTTGGCAACCATAGTTGGGACCATTATGGTAAAGATTGTCGGCCCACCTATGGCAGCCAAAAATCGGGCCAACTAGCGAATTGATAACGTCAACCAACCTATGGTCGACTCAGTTGGCCCAACTATGGCTGCCAGGGCAGACCACTTTTCGCCGCCAACTCATCCCCGTGTACCTGCTCAGCGGCAAATTTTCGTCCCCGTATGTTCCCCGCTGAGTAGGTACACGGGGATGAGTTGGCGGCGAAAAGTGGTCTGCCCTATTTTTCGAGTAAAAAGTTTCATCTGCAATAGTAAAAGTTGTTTCTTGTAGAAACAATTCTTATATTTCGCAGTATTACTTATTAGAATTTATACGAGTAATATTTAAAAAGTGTCGAATGTAAAAAGTAATACAAAATTTAATAAAATTTAAAAATCCTAAAGCAATTTCTATTATATCTGTAGCAATTTTGAAAAGTGACTACTGTAATAATTACTATTAGTAATTTTTACTACCAGAAATAGTAATATGTACTTCATGCGAAGTACATTTTACAATTAATAGTAATTTTTACTAGAAAAGTATAATTATTACTATTCCATGGGAATTTTTACTAGAATCTCAGCACTATTTTTCTCCGTGCAGCGAAAACACCAAGGCGAAGGAACAAGTTCTGATCGGATCATGGAAGTTAAGCAACGTTGGACGCGGTTAGTACTTGGATAGGTGACACTTGCATTAATATTCGACGAAATGTTTTTTAGGGAAATTTAATTTTCCATCCAATACTAAATTTTAGTAGTGATACTAAGAAAAATTGATATCGTTACAGTTTCCTTTTTTAAGATCAAAAATATTTGTGACTTTTTCCCTTTTAAAATAAAGTCTAGTTCTTTCAATGAAAAAAAATGATTTACATTGTATTCGACATACTTAATAAATAAATAATTAAAATTGAAGTATAAGTTGTTATGTTTTACGCACAATTAAGTTTAGGGTAATTTGTAATATAAAATTTCTAAAGTTAATGGAAATCTGCATTCAACAAGGATAATACAAAATTTTTGGAATGCATGGATGTTAAAGTAGAGACCGACTGGAAAATATGTATAAAGCCCGGTTGGAATACAGGCAGCGCAGCGTCCGTTCAAGTTTTGCTGCGCGGCGCAAGCACCTATTGTTCAATATTTTATCCATGCTTTCAATTGTCAAACTGATATTTGTCTAGGTTTTGTTAGGCATAAAATTGAATGAACTTGATAATAAAAAAAGAGCAGTCTATACTTATTTCTAATTAGATGATATTAATTAATTTTTTATTACTTCTTTTTATATTATTTTATTATTTATATATATATATATATTAATATAATTCCAATCTTTCTAGTATAAAATAATAGTCCAATTTCTAACAGTGTATTGAAATTTATGTTTGTAAATCTGATTTTGTATTTAAAATGAACGATCCACAATTAACGCTTTTTTCTTACATTTATTTTGATCGTAATTTTATATACCTATAATGAATATGTGTGACGCATTTTCCTAGCTTTCTAACTTTCCCTTTTTCCTCCCCCAATTTTCAAGGACAACATTCCTTGGACCATCGGTCACCCCAAGGAATGGTCCACTGGTACAAAACAGTTGTTTCCGAGCCTACACCCAAGTAGGAACTTTTCCTTTTAAATCTACGGACTAATTGTAAAGTTGAACAACTCTTTTAAATAAATGATTTGTATCTACGGATACATCTTTTTATAATAATAAAAATTACGTGTTTTATTCAACCCGTCACATTTTTGGCGATCCTGCCAGGATAGTTCGATACGATTACGATCAAAAATCGGCTATCCTTGTGAGAACCATTGTGATATTGTGATAAAATTTTTTTTTGTGAAAAGTGACGGTTTATACGGTGATATTTTCACTGGAAATCACCGGAAAACACGGACTCGGGCCGAATTAAGTAAGTTCGATAGTGATTCCGTGGGTATTAGTCCCAGAGAAGGTGAGACGTCACCCAACCAAGTTGGCATCGTGGGATTATAAGCCTATAAATCAACTTACGAATTCCGCCAATCTAAGGACCACTGATAAGCTGCATTTCAAATTTGTAAGGACACATCTACGGATTTGTACAACAGAAGAAAGTAAGCTCATGTCTAATTTATACGTATCTCTTGTTAAATAATTGTATTTTTATATAATATAGATACATTATATAACGTAAATAATTATATTATATTGAATGATATTTGGTATTTAATTAATTATTTAATTGATTAACTATTTGAATAATATTTGGTATATTAATCTCGAATAAGTTAATTTCGACAAATTGATATATCAACTTTCAATATTATAATTTCTGAAATTTTTTTTCGTTTGTTACAAATTAAAATAAGTTAATTTCGACAAATTGATATATCAACTTTCAATATTAAAATTTCTGAAATTTTTGCGTTTGTCACAAATTAAAATAAGTTAATTTCGACAAATTGATATATCAACTTTCAATATTAAAATTTCTGAAATTTTTGCATTTGTTACAAATTCAAATAAGTTAATTTCGACCAATTGATATATCAACTTTCAATATTAAAATTTCTGAAATTTTTGCGTTTGTTACAAATTAACTGTGTTTTACATATACAAATAATTCTAATAATAACAATCATGTCGACGGTAGAGAACTCAGAGAAAGAATCCACTATCCTAGTCCTAGACCAAATTCTCGAAAAATTACATATACTCCAAAATTCACAAATTTCCATTCAAATGAGTATCGCGCAATTAAACAAAGAAAATTTAAAAAGGGTGGAAGAGATTAAAAATCTTGCACGCGATGAACAATTACTTGTAACAGAAGATGACGATAGTATAGGAGAAAATTCCGAGGAAACAGAACAAACGCATTTTGACTCTGCGGGAGATGACAAAAAAAAGGTGCCTTATATTAACACTACAAATTCCTTTCAAAAAAACAAGACGGAACAGCGAGTGCGACCCTCTATTCCCGACTGTTTTATGACCGAAGTCCCGGGCTCACATATACAGCGAGACAACCTTTTACCTGCCAAAGAAATTATTCGAACGGTAGAAATTCTTAACGGGCGTGACGACGTTGGTACAGAAGATTTTATAAAAACTGTTGAACGTGCACGACAACGATGTTCACAACCCGAATTATTACTAGATTTTATATTAACAGAAAAAATAATTGAGAATGCTAAAAGATCAATTAGACATGTTTCAATAAACAATTATAATGAACTTTTTCAGGCACTTAGAACAAATTTGGGATCCGGTACATCCATTGAATTATGTCGCGCTAAATTAGATTCATGTAGACAAGGAAATGACAATGTCCAAACTTTTAATCAACGTTTCGGGAAATGTCTTAATGAATTATTTTACGCAATTCAATCGGAACACGGTTCGGCATATGAGCGAAAAGTAGCCTTGCAATTAGAGGAAAAAACAGCAATCAAGCGTTATATTATGAACCTTAGAGACGAGCTCGGTATTCAAGTTAGACCGTTGAAACCAAAGTCGATAAACGAAGCTCAAGAAGAAGCTCTCGAAGCAGAAGTATGGATTCGAGAAAAAATGAGATTTAAAACACCTAACATGCTACGTAACCCACAACAAAGTAATATGTCACTGCGTCTAGTGACACCGCGACCCCCCGTAGTGAACAAACCAAGTGACCCTCATAACCATAGTATGGCCCTCGCGCAGAGAATACGTTTACAATGTGCCTTTTGTAAAAAGATAGGGCATGGTGAATCGCAGTGCTTTGAAAAAAACGGTAAACCACAAAATTTTCAAATAGGACAGAGAATAAAGAAACCCCCCGCGAGAGTAAATCTGACAGTGGAGGAAGTCCCAGAATCGAGCCATTGCGAAAACCAGGAAAATTCACAGGAGAATCAGGACAACTGCCTGACAGAATATCCTATATATCAGGACGACTTCAGTCAGTGTTACTACGACCACGACAATTCCAACGAGACATCCGATTACTTATCGATACAGGAGCCTCAATAAATCTTTTAAAAAAATCTTGCGTTCCCCAATATTTTAAACAAATTGAACAAGAAAAGGACTTTAAAATGGGTAACGAAACACACAGGTCCAAATTTAAATTTGAATTAGAATACCTTGGTAAAATTCATACATTTAATGTGGTACCTGATAAATTTCCCCTGCCTGAGGATGGAATCATGGGACTTTGTTTCCTTCAAAATTATTTGTATAATTTATCAAATAACGAGTTACAATTAGACAAAAAATCGCACGATCTTATTGACGACGGAATACTGATACCTCCAAATAAAATAAAAGTAGTTGACATACCAGTTTCGAAACAAAATGGGTGTATAGGATTTATAGACAACCCACATGTTCCGGATTCAATTTTTCGTATTTGTGACTCTAAAATAAGTGTACCACTTGTTAATGACTCTCAAAAACCTAAATTAATTTCAATGACAGAATTAGACTACAAAATCTTGAAAAGTGAACCTAGTGAATATGTAGTCCATCGGGTAACAGAAGAGGAACTTCTGGCACGTCTTAAGCTATTGACAGAGAATACTCGATTAAGTCATATCGAAGTTGACAATCGCGAAATTATAAATAAAATTATCCAGTCTTATCACGATATTTTCTCACTTCCTGGAGATCCATTGCCCAGTTGTAGGTTAACATCTCATCGGATTGTTTTGAAGGAAGATAAAATAATTAACACTAAATCATACCGTCCACCCGAAAGTCATAGAAAAGAAATGAACGACCAAGTAGCAGAGATGTTAATTAAAAAAATAATCAGACATTCAAATTCTCCTTATAATTCACCCCTATGGTTAGTGCCAAAGAAAATCGACGCATCAGGTATACAAAAATGGCGAGTTGTCACTGATTTTCGTAAAATTAACGATTTTACTGATCAAGATTCCTACCCACTTCCGGTGATTGATGATATACTAGATCATCTTGGAAAGGCAAAATTCTTTTCAATATTCGATTTAAAGGCGGGATTTCATCAAATACCAATGGAAGAGTCCTCGAAAAAATTCACGGCTTTTTCAACTTCAGAAGGACATTTTGAGTTTGAACGAATGCCATTCGGACTCCGAAATGCTCCGGCAACATTCCAACGCATGATGGACCGTGCACTTAAAGGATTGATTGGCAAAATCTGTTTCGTCTACCTTGACGACATTGTTGTCTTCGGTTCAACATTACAAGAACACAACCATAACCTTGTAACACTATTCGAACGCCTTCGTGAAACTGGATTAAAACTCCAACCTGACAAATGCGAATACCTTCAACCCGAATTAGAATATCTAGGTCATTGCATTACAAAAGACGGAGTAAAACCGAACCCTTTAAAATTATCTGCAGTTAGCAACTTTAAACAACCAACAAACACAAAAGAAGTAAAATCCTTTCTTGGTCTTTCTGGCTATTATAGAAAATTTATTAAAAATTATTCTACAATAGCAAAACCTTTGACCGAATTAACGAAGGTTTCTAATGACTTTGTTTGGACAAACAAATGCCAAGAGTCATTTGACAAATTAAAAACATCCCTATGCCAAGCCCCGGTTTTACGTTATCCTGATTTCGACAAAGGATTCGTGCTGACAACTGATGCATCAAATGTTGGTATTGGTGCAATACTATCACAAGATGGTCATCCTTGCTGTTATATATCAAGAACCCTTAACAAACACGAGCTTAATTATACCACGACAGAAAAGGAATTATTAGCTATAGTATGGGCAGTCAAGCGACTACGACAATACTTGCTTGGTAGAAAATTTACAATTTTGACTGATCATCAGGCCCTTAAATGGCTGTTCAACGTTAAGGATCCGTCCTCTAGGTTGATGCACTGGCGATTACGGATGGAAGAATACGAATACGAAATAGAATATAAAAAAGGATCTGAAAATACGGCAGCTGACGCTTTATCGCGAATTTTTGCAATTGATGGCATGATATCTCAGCCAACACCGCACAGCCCTGAATTCGACTTAGAAAAGGAACTACCAGAAATTGAAGTATTAAATTATGATGATGATCGCGATTTACACACACCAATACCCGAGAAAACAATACAATCAAGATTAGAAAACAGTAGTCCATTCGAACCCTTGTTAATGAATACGGAAATCGAAGAAAATCAAACCCCTGTGATTGAGAATCAAGAACACGGTGACCCGGAAATGGAAGAAACTTTCAAGGAATATTATAAATGGTTTCATAAACGCACTGAGACACGCGAAATAGAAAAACCGAATGCACAAGGAAAGCTTTGGATACGAATATCGAAAGACCGTGTTAATTTAAATTCAAATATTACAAAATTACCTGAGTATAATGAAAGGGATTGGTTACGTATTCTGAACCAGAAAGTGAGATGGACAATAGAAAGAAAATTGACTATTCTTCGTTTCCACTTCGACGATCCAACAATAACTGCGACAGAAAAAATTAAATTAAAAACTCTAATTTCATTTTTATGCTATAAATATCAAAACCTCAAGGTGCACACGTGTTTTAATGCAACTACTGAACTGACTCCAGAAGAGCGCAAACTCATCATTAGGGAATGTCACGGTTCAGTAATGTCCCAGCATTTTGGCGAAAATAAATCAATTATGCGAGCACGAGAACTTGGACTTTGGCCTAACATGGAAACGGAAATTATCGACTACATAAAAAAATGCCACACATGCCAAACACAGAAATTACAACGTATTAAACGTAAAACAGAGGCCATCATTCCGGATACACCTACCAATCCTAATGATAAAATTGCTATGGATATTTTCGGACCATTGCCTGTAACTGCACAACAGAACGAGTACATTTTGTCCATTCAAGATATGTTAACAAAATATCTAATCCTAATACCTCTAAAAAATGTAACATCTGAATCAATTATAGAGGGTCTCTTCGACCATTACATATATGTTTTTGGATCTCCAAAACATATCTTAACTGACCAAGGACAAAATCTGGTATCGGAACTAATACAAAACTTCGAGAACTTATTCCGTATTAAACACGTAAAAACAACAACTTTCCATCCACAGAGCAACGGTAGCTTGGAACGGGCACACGCGACTGTTAAAGATTTAATTCGAACTGCGATGAGTGATAATCACACTGAATGGGACCTTACACTTAAATTTATTTGCATGGCTTACAACACTATGAGTCATGAAGGGACTGGATTTTCACCATTCCAATTAACCTTTGGTAGGAGTGCAAACTTACCTTCCATTCTTGCCACTACTCCCTGTCTCAAGTATTCTGAACTAGTTAATTTGTGGAAAGATAGACATGAAAAATATATACTCAGGGCCCAAGAGAAAATTCAGAAATCAAAAGAAAAATACAAAAGAATCCAAGACTCAAAAATTGTTTTACCACAGAAAATATTTGATATCGGTGATCTAGTTTTAATGGAGAACGTAAAAAATAATAAATTGAACGCGGATTGGAAAGGACCTGCCACAATTCTTAGTGTTAAGAATAATAATAACTATGAAATTGTATTTAACAACGAAAGACAATTGATTCATGCTAATAGATTAAAACCTTATTATACTTAATTGCAGGAAAAATGAGGATTTTATTATGGTGTGCATTAATACTCAGTATCAAAGCCGATGTTCATCTAAAAAACCTCGAGGACACTACAATTTTTGCTGAAAACCTTGGTATAACGAAATTATTCCACGAAACATGGAAGCTCATTCTAGGAATCGACACCAATAACTTTAAAACACGACTTGCAGAAATTACAGAAATCTATTCTCGAGCTTCAGCTTTGTGTAACAATTGCTCAGAAAAATACGAATTAAATCTCCTTAGGAATCGAATTAATAGGTTAGAAAATTCAAAGTTTCTCTTAAATCAAATACTAGGACAATCACGACAGCGAAGAGGTTTGTTTAATTTTATGGGATCTTTTTCAAAAACTTTATTTGGGACACTAGATGATCATGATTTACAAATTATTAATAATGAGTTTGATGCTATTTATAAAGACAATAACATTATGGCAGAGTCAATAGGAAACCAAACTAGAATAATAAAAACACTCTTAAATAGTGCTTCGCATGATTTACAACTGTTAAATGAACAATCTCAAAGTCGTACCCAAGAACTAAACAAAATAATAAATTCAACAAATGAAAACCAAAAAAGGTTACTAATTGCTAATCTCATTTCTGCGGTGGAAATTGCTGTAGCTGAATACAGCGAAGATTTAAACTTAGTAATCGATGCAATAAATGACGGAAGACATGGAATAGTTCACCCTCAGATACTTACTCCAGAAACACTAATACAGGAACTGCGACAAATCGAAGAATCTGATAATCAGAAATATCCAATTAAGTTAATCGTGGATAATTATCAACACATAATTGATATTTCCGAAACAACTATTGGAATAGTTAATAAAAGATTAGTTTATATATTAAAAATTCCAGTTTTAGAACACGAAGATTTGCAAACATATCATCTTATTCCTATTCCTATTCCCCATGGAAAAAGCTTCATTGCTCCTATCCCTTCTCATGAGGTTATCTTAACTAATTTAGAGAAAAATATTTATGTACCTTCAGATGTTGATAGTTTAAAACTCTGCAAAGAAATCGACGAACTTCGTATTTGTAAACGAACACAGCCAAGCTATTTTATTAGTGAAACTCATTCATGCGAAACAAGTATTATCAGACGTCAAAATAAACATGTTAACAACGATGTATGCCAATTCTCCGCATTTAGAATATTAGAGTTAGTTTTCATACCACTAAAGGATCCCAATCAATATGTATTAGTTCCCGAGGTACCCTTTGAATTAAATGTGTGGTGCGGAACAAATACGCAAACTCTTAAGCTCAATTCCGCTAGCTTGCTGTTCAGTGATGAAGACTGTATTATACAAACCCCAAAATCAATTTTAAAATTACGAAAATCAAAGGTACGAAGAAGCGATATTTATTTCAAAAAAAATGTAACTTATAAATTAAGCATCGAAGATATAAATCTGTTAAGTAGCCAATTACCTTTAATTCAAGAGTCGCTACGTCACGAGAATTTTAAGGAATTACGTCAAAGTTTAAATAATATGGAAAATTCATTAAAAGCCATTAAATCTAATCGAAGAACACGTACATGGATAGAAACAAGTACAGATATACTTACGTATTTAGGTTACTTATCATTATGTATAATTAGTGTCTATAGTTTATATAAAATTGGATTATTTGATTGTATTAGGAAATCATTACCTCGAAATTTCTGTATTAAACTTTTCTGCGTTTCTACCACAGTTACTTCAACACCTACAGTACAGTACACTCCTGTGGCAACAGCGCCAATCGAACATTTTGATACTTCACTAAATAATGTAGCTAGCAATAAAGATGTAGTAGTTGTACAGAAAAGGATTAAATTGCGAACTTAGAGGACTAAGTTCATTCTAAATGGGGGGGTGTGACGCATTTTCCTAGCTTTCTAACTTTCCCTTTTTCCTCCCCCAATTTTCAAGGACAACATTCCTTGGACCATCGGTCACCCCAAGGAATGGTCCACTGGTACAAAACAGTTGTTTCCGAGCCTACACCCAAGTAGGAACTTTTCCTTTTAAATCTACGGACTAATTGTAAAGTTGAACAACTCTTTTAAATAAATGATTTGTATCTACGGATACATCTTTTTATAATAATAAAAATTACGTGTTTTATTCAACCCGTCACATATGCCAAACTGAAAACATAAATACATTTTATTTACATAAACTGGATTTATGATACCTTAAACGGAAACGAACTAACTCATGTTAAAATTTCATTTAATATTCAAAACAAACTTTTTCACCTATGTACAATTTTTTTTCAAATAAATTTCACACAACGATATTCTTTTAAATTAAAAAAACCCGCTAATTTGAATTAGTGAAACTAACCAATTTGATCGCAAAAATTAAGTTACGAATTCAAAAAGTAATATTCCTACTAAACTTTTTGTTAAAAATAACTATTTATCAGTTAAATTCACATTTAGATTATGTCGAAATAACTAAAATGTCTTGTAACTAAATCAATTAGTCAAATCTGAAAATTTTTTCAATTACTTTTCCACTGAAAATTATAGTTTCTTTTTACTAATAATTAATTATTTTGTACTAATTGGTCAGTCAAGATTTCTCTAACAATTAGTTATTTTTATCTAATTCAGATTTAGAAAGCAAATAAAAATTATTTGATTAAAGTACCAATAAATATTTCATAATAGTCAAAGTAATCGATTATATTTGCATCAAATAAATTCTTTTTCAGTCTACATTGTAATAATATAAATGTTATTAAAAGAATAATTCAAATAAACTATGAATCCTTTATTTATTCACTAAATAAAGATTTATCGAAACTTTTTAAATCAATATTTTCGTTTGCTTAAAAATAAGTTGTAGAACAAAAATATATTTCACCTTATTTAACATTAACATATAATTTTATATGATGCTGAAGTACGCAACGTTTTTATAAATGAAAACGAAAAAATAATTAGACAATATCCATTAATTTTGGTTAAAATTAAAGTTATTCGGGGGTAACTGGTTTTTATAAAAGTATTAATTTCTTGAAAGTTTGTGCAAATCAAAATTAGAGATAAATTGACATGAAAAAATAATTCTATTTTAATTTTTCGTTTTTAAAACGTTGCGGACTTCAGCCTCATAATTTCATTTATGAATTTCTGAAAATTATGTTCTCTACTTTAAAAATGGATAAAAATCAATATTCAACATTGCGGATTTTGTTCTATTAAAAATTATATCAATGACACGAAATATTAACACAATGATAAACAATTTTACAAGATTTAAAAAATATTTAAATAATTTACTTACATTGATGCTTATCAGCAAGCATAATCAAAGTAGATGGTAAGTCCCTCCGCCTGAAGAAGCACATAACTTTTGCTTCAACATTCCCACTGGAAGTCTAAAAAAAATTATAAAACCTTTTGTTAATAAAGAATGTGAATATGTTCTCTATTAATTTGAGTAAGTCCAAAATTTATCTACTTTAACCTCTTATTTATTAGAGTTTTCGCCCAGGGCCAAAAGTTCGTTTACCATAGCAACCGTTACTATAGCAACAGTTACAATAGGAACGGTTACTATGGTATCGGTTTACAATAAATGCTAAAAATCTCAAAAGTTTCGAGGTCTAGGGTAAGTCCGGGGGAGTTGGCCATGCGGGAGAGATGGCCAATTCAAATATTTTATAGGTATCGCTTATTAAAGATTAGTTCGCTTTGTTTTGTGGTAAAACACAATTAAAAGAAAAAACTTGACGAAAAATATTGAAAAAGTAAGTAAAAAACTGATTTGTTCTTTTGACTAGTTCTGAAAAAAAGTGATGACTTAACGTTTCTCACTGGCGTTATGTTCTTTTATAGAATAATTTTTAATTTAATTTTTTTCTGTAATGTACATGACCCAAGCTTTGTCATAAATTTATATTTATTCAAAAATTTTATTTATTAATTTAAATTTTAGTTATGTCAATTTGTCTCCTGACATTAGGAGAGATGGCCATGTTTTTTCGAGGTGAGATGGCCATACTGTTTAAGTTATTGGCACCCTTGAGATTCGTGTGTTCGCTAAAAAAAACATTAATTCTGTAGCAAATGACATTTTTTATGACATTTATTACAACAAGACACTCCAACAAAGATTTTCAAATTTAAATATGATCAAATAAAATAATCACTATTGTGTAATTTAATCTTAAAAACGTTTATAAACAATCATAACACAGGTCTACAAAATAAAACTTTTTTATATATATATACATATATATCAGAGTGATTTTCAATGTATTTTTGTGTGCTGAACACGATCCCGGGTTCTAAAATGGCGTATGAAGTCAGGATTTTGAGTAAAGTGGGGGTAAAGTCTTCAAAAACCGTGTTTTTGAGTGTTTCAGTATTTTTTCTCCTTAACCTGACGTGCTAGAGACTTCTATCTAGGCTTAAATTGAAGTTTAAAACGTACATTTTAAGACCCATATGCGCATAATAAAAAAAATTTTTTGAAATTTTGATAAAATGGGGGTAATGACCCCAAAAATCTTTTTAAGTGACTTGAACCTAATTTTTTTATCTTGCGCATACCTATGTGTCTTAAAGTGTAAGATATGTGCTTTAATTTAAGCCTATACAAAAGTCTCTATCACGTCAGGTTAAGGAAAAAAAAATACTGAAAACACTCAAAAACACGGTTTTTGGAGACTTTACCCCCACTTTACTCAAAATCCAGACGTGATACGCAATTTTGGAACCTGGAATCGTGTTTAGGACACAAAAATAAATTGGAAACCACTCTGATATCTCAAAAAAATTCCTTGTAGCCTTGTTGTGTTGGTGAGACAAACAGACAGACAGCGTTTATGAAAATGGCACTGAATTTAATGATAAATGTTCGAAATGTAGTCAGAACAAGAAAAAAAGACTTTAATCCCTTTAAATTAAAAATTTTGATAAAGCGAAAAGCTAAAAATTGATTTTAAAGTATTGGCCATCTCTCTCATTTCTATTATTTTTTGTAAGTTAAATGTTCAATGTTTAATTCGCAATAAAAGTTAATACATAAATCACTTTCTTTTTATTTTTACAGAACTTTAAAAAAACTATGGCCAACTCCCCCGGACTTACCCTAATAAAATTTGATTCTGATTTTAACTATCTGCTTATGCTAACTTATCCCCACTCTAGCGCCACTGAGCGTAATTCTCATATTCTCCACGAAGCGTCCAAAATGGACGTTATTTGACAGTAACTGTCACTAGCATAAGCAAAGAGTTAATAAGCTGTTAAATTATTATTTTCTTTGGAAACTTCAAACCTGATATTAAGCACAAGACAGACCAAATAATCGAAAGTTGAAAAAATTAGAATAAATTGTCAATATAATAACAGAATTATTATAAATAAATTATGTAGAAGAAGTCCGGGTATGGTTGTAACAACACCGATTTCTCGTAAATTATTAGAGGGAGGGTGGTCGAATAAGATAGAAGAACGTCTCCTACGTTCACACATAATATTTCAATTTGTGTTGCAATAATTACACAGTACAACAGCATTTTTATTTCTGGGATCACCCTAGGATTCCGATAAATTTTGTTTATAAAATTGAAAAAACAGCATTTATTCAATTTTCAAGGTCTAATTTCTTGAAATCCTAGCAGGGTGTCCAGCAGGACTCAAGAAAAAAAATCCCCTGACCTTCCATAACAGTGTGAATTCGATATATTTTAATTGATTGATCAGGAACTCATATTTAGAAATTGCTGTTATATTTCTTTTATTTGTCTGATCCATACAATTTCTTTTATCGATCTATCGATAAAAAAGCTAAGCTTTCACTCTGTCACGCAGAGCCTCCTCAGAGCAATATACTGCAAAATAAAAAATATAATGCCAATGAGAATAAAAATAAAAACAAAATAAATTATATAAACAATTTAACAATTACCATTTTGCAGAATTAAATGAATATTGTAAAAACTAACCTCAAAACAACACACATGTTAATTTTTAAAACGTTAAATAAAAAAAAACATTAAACATAAAATTATAAAAACAGACACATAAAATCCAACACAAAATAAACATGGAAACGAAAAACGTCATATACAATGTCAAAAAACTTTTGTCAGAGGATTAGAAAATATCCTCAAAAAATATTTTGGCGTCACATGTTTAATATGGTTATAAAATTGTGAGGGAATTCAATGTCGATAACACAGAAATCTATAATAACACTACAAAAAATCTTAGAAAGCGCCAAATCTACATCAGTTTGAATTTGAATTTTAAATAAGGAATAAAAAATCAAAAATATTAAATTTAGTTTGTGTTTAAAATTTAATTTCTATAGATGTCGTTGAGAGAATTGGTATCAATTTTTTTTGTTAACAGCATTCCCGAGATGAAATTTTCGACCTGTTTTCTACCTTTTAAACCTACTTCAATCCTAACTTAAACCTTTTGGTACTTTTTTCGTCCTTTTAGCCCTACTTTAATCCTTAACCATCCTTCGATTGTAACATTTTAAACCTAAAATGAACCTTATTAGACCTTATGAGACTACTTGAATTTTTACTGACAGGTAAACAAACTTTTCTGACCCTTTTTTCATCCTACTTGGCACTACATTCGGCCTTACTTATATATGTTTAGACCTAAAAGAATCTTGAATTGAAATTTACACTGCAATATAGTGCAATATAGCTCGCCAAACTTTAAAACATGTTTAGGTGCTATAAAATGTAAAAATCAACCAACCATTCTCCACAGGAGGGCACTGGTGACATTTAGGTACAAAATTAGAAATAGTATTTTCATAAATACAAAAAATTATAAATTTCTCATTTTAATTCCATTGTTCAAAAAGGGTCACTTTTTGGTGTCCGGAAAAAATACATGAAAACCAAAGCAATCATAAAAATGGGACCGAAAAGTACAAAATATCTCAGATGCTTATGGGTTGAAGAAACGGGTATATATATATATGAGGTATTCCATGCCAAATCGGAGACTTTTTGAAAAATTTTTTCCTTTTAGTACTCATGAAGACTAGCTTTCACGATTTTTTTCAAATTTTTTCATCAAGCCCTTTAGGAGATATCAATTTTTGAAAAATTACGTCACTTTTTTTTCAAATGCTTGTAATTTCGCTAAAAATAGACCAAATTGGATCAATCTTATATCAAAATTTTTGTTTTTAAACGTACTTTCCAAAAAAAATATTGAACGTTATTTTCGAAAAAAATTTCTATTAGATTTTTGAGATTTAAGACTAAAAATTCATTTTTTAACCTGTGTGTATCGATCGATTTTTTTCAAATTTTTTTTACAAAAACTGCTCTAAATTTGACGAATTTGACGTTTTTAATTATCTGTATGGAAATCAAACAATAATCATTTTCTCTCATTCAAACCCAACGATTATTGTTAGTTTTATAAAATAAAATAGTTTAAAAAATAAATAATAAAGTAATATTTTATTTATTTATCTAAAATTTTGTTTTATTTGTAGAAGTTATTAAGCAATTTAAAATGAATGATTTTCAAAATATGTCATGTAAAAACACGGTGAAAAAAAAATCGTGAAAGCTAGTCTTCATGAGTACTAAAAGGAAAAAAATTTTCAAAAAGATCTGAGGTGCAAAAGCCAAATGGTCTCCGATTTGGCATGGAATACCTCATATATATATACCTACTTGTGTATATACACAAAATATAGTTTAGGAATTTCCAAATTTTTTACACAAAATTTACTATAGTAAAAACACAAGTATCACCAAGCCAAAAACCGTTTTCCCACCAGTCTTTTGTCGACTTCGACAAACTTAGTTTCAATTATCTAAAGCGTATATCTCCGTGTGATTAAAGTGATATTTACTCAAAGTAATGTAAAAAAATAATTTTGTCTTAGTATATATTTTATTTAAATTTGTATATTTGTATTTTGTATTGTATATAATTTGTATATATATATTTTTAAATAAACTAGGGTAAATGCACTAATTGCGGCGCGATTCGAGTCAAAACACCTTTGAAATAGAAAATTCGACATTTCTATTGTATAAAATCAATTTAAGACTGATTAAACTAAAAGCTTATGTTATTTACATATTAAAAAAAAATTCAACTTTATAAAAATCGATTATTTAAACAAATATGAGAAATTAAAACTAATACCGTAATTTTCTATTGCGGTGCGTTTGTATCAGTTTCGGTGGATCAATTTCGGTGACCAAAATTACGTGTATTTTGAAGATTCTTTGCCCGCCGAAATTAGAGCCAATGGAAATCTTAATAATGTTTCAATTACGGCGCGGAAAAAAATTTGATCTTCAATAATTAAATTAATAATTGTTTAAATGTGTATCTTTATAATTAATTGTATCAAAAAAATATTAAAATAATTTTTTTTAATTATATTGCAACATTTATATTAAATATAATAGTAATAATAGTTATTTTTTTATGAACGCGCCGTAATTGGTACACTTACCCTATTTTATAATTTTTCGTGTTAAATAAAAATTAATTTCGAATCGTTGATTATAAACGTTGCGTACTTCAGCATCGTTATAATGTTTGTATTAATAAATAAATAATAATAATAATAATAGATAAATAAAATAAATGGACTATATGGCGACCACGGAAACTTGGATCTTTTACCTTATTTATGGCCATATTGTAAATAGAAGCTAATTACAATTGTTAGTAAAAATATAATATTAATAAATATTAATGCTATAAAATAGTTAATATTATATTTGAGACCGTTGAATTTCTCTGATTCCAACTGTATGTTTTACTTGAAAGTATGGAAAATAAATTCTTAATACATATACATATGTATATATATAATTATTTTATTTTCCATACTTTTAAGTCGAACAACATACCATAAGAAACAGAAAAATTTAAGGATCTCAAATATAATATTAAATATTATGTAACATTAATATTTATTATTATATTTTTACTAACAAATGTCACCAGCATTAATTTACAATAGGGTCGTAAATCAAGCAAGGGAAAAAATTGTTCCGAAGGTCATCTCATAATGACCCTACTGAGACTAAAAACTTCCTAAACAACCCTACAATATTTTTACTGACGACCCTCCTTTCGACATTTTTGATACTGCAAATTTAACCCTACACTTACTAGAATCAACCTAACATAGGAGAAAATGGACGAAAGCGACACAGTTTAGGCTGATTGTTGGCTCAATTTACGTAACGTCCAGAAAAGGTTGGCTTTCTATACCAGTTCGTAACAATTTTATTATTCTCTCTAATGAGTAAAACGTCTGAAAATCCTATTGTCTACGTCTACGTCAACGTCTAAAATTGAATTATTATTTTCTTTTTCTAAAGTGAATTGAATTCTGGGGTGATAAGAATTAAAAATGTCAAGTATATCATCAAGAAACTCCTCTGGCATTTTAATACTCAAGTATTTTATTTTATCGTATCGAATAAATAGTTATTTGAATCAAATACAAAGTATTCAAATCAAATAAATGGAATATTCAAAGCTAATAAATAATTATTTGAATTAATTATGAAAATTATTTCATTCAATACTGCATATTTTTTGATTCAAATAAATATTTATTTGCATTAATAAAATATTTTTCTTGAAACTAAAAATTTTCTTGAATCAAATATTCGATTATTTATCATAAGTAATTGTTTTAATTGAAACTAAAACCTCTTTAATTGCGTCTATTATTATTTTATTTGATCCAAATACATAATTTATTTGCATAAAATGTAAGAATATTTTGATTCAAATAAATCAAAATTTGAATTGAATAAATAACATATTTACTTAGTAATTCTTCCATTTCTAAATTAAATTCTTACTCAAATAAATAAATTGAAAAATATGTCATTTCTGCATACTATGATCACATATTTTCATTTTTCAACTAATTCATATATAGAATTAATGATTAAACGCAAACCTGAGAAATAAATAAATCTAACGCATGGGGGGAATCGAACCTACGACCTCCAGTCTAACGCTTTACCAACTCCGCTACGCACTCTACGTGAAAACGAATGTTAACTTCTTGATGTCATTTAAACTTGCAAAATACCTAACTCAGAAAAGTGCTTAACATCATTTAGTTAAAATTAAGAAATTCAATTATATTTTCTAATTAAATGCAATTTATAAAATATAATTAATTATATGCTTCATGATTATTATCATGAATCATCCCAGGTGAATTTTCAAAAAAACTGTAAATATATTTTTATTAAAAACGCGTTTTTCGTTGTTCTGAATCATTGTAAACATTAATTTTTTGTTGATGAAAAAATATTTGACTTTTGGACTTAGAATATTAAATTTAATATATATAAATAAATTAATAGTATCAAATAACTCATTATTCTCATTACACTTAAATATTTAATTGATCAAAACATTTTATTTTCCTTTAACAAAATAGTGTATGTATTAACATTAAATAATGCATTATTTTTATTAAATAATTTAGTTAATTAGAATCAATAAAATAAATTTATTCTATCAAATACTTTTTATTTGTATAAAAAAATGAAATATTTGACTGAAATAAATAAATTAATAGTTGCAAATAACTAATTTTTTTCGTTTCAAATAAACATTTAATTGATTAAAATATTTTTTTATTTGTCTTGATAAAATAGTGTATTAGTGTTAAATAATTTAGTTGACTTAAATCCATTAAATAAAGTTATTGTATCAAATACTTTTTATTTGTTTCAATAAAACGAAATATTTGAGTGAAATAAATAAATTATTTCAAGTAAATCATTATTATCGTTTCAAATAAATATTTAATTGATTGAAATAATTTTTTATTTGTCTTGATAAAATAGTGTATTAGCATTAAATAACGAATTATTTGTATTAAATAATTCAGTTTATTTGAATTAATTACATAAATTTATTGTGTCAAATACTTTTTATTTGTATCAAATAAACGAAATATTTGAGTGAAATAAATGAATGAGTAGTTTCAAGTAACTCATTATTCACAGAGGGAGGTAATTTGGTGATCTCAATAAAAATATAAAATAAACAATTAAGCGACTTCCAGGAATAACAAAATTTTATTAAGACAAAATGAATAACATCAATCACTTGTGGAGAACAATTAAATATCGACTCTTTGACGTTTTATCATTCAAAATAAAATAACGTAAAATATTATCCCTGATTTAAAACGTCGATATTATACAGTTATTCCTCAAATTTCAATTTCTGATCAACAGATAAAATTGTCAAACAATTTCAAAAGTCACACATGAGAACGCAACTCACCACACGCAGAATCGGAAAAAGAGTAAAGAGCGTGCCCGGTGAATTTTGGCAATGCGACAATATATCGAACTACTGGCACTATGATCGATGTAAGGTCAGAGGGTCGAATTGTTAACTTTTTGATCCTAACCCTTATTCTAAGATATTTGATCATTTTATTTCTCGAAATAACGTCCAGAAATATTTTCCCGTCACATTGATTATTCTAACTGTGAATTTAACCAGTATATTTATAACAAACATTAATAAGGATATTAAGAATTACCTTATTTAGTTCTTCTATCCTCCTTATTTGATAAGGTGATGTCGAAGATGTCTCAAAATAAACATAATCTGAAAAAGAAAAAAAAATACATATATAAGAACAGACTGTGTAAAGAATATCAACATTTTATATTTAAAACATTTTTCCAAGAAAATATTTATTCCCAGGTAGAAATTGACGATAGGCGTATATTACTGGTTCAGTAGGGAAAAATGAAAACCAGTACTGACTTTAATACTAGCTCACTACGTGTCCAACATCGTCAGGTAACGCCACTGGCTTGGGCTTAGTACTGAAAATCAGTAATGGATTAGTACGAATTTTCTGTTCAGACCAGTAGTAGACTAGTAGTAGAGCAAGGATGGAGAAACATAACCTTCAATTATTAACCAAAACTTTATTTAATTTTATTTTTCAGATCTTATATCGGTTTCGTTTTTCACATAATTCTAAATAAACTTTATACGATTAAAATATTGTTTTAAGACATTTGATATTAACTTAAAATAAAAAAAAATTAATTAAAAATTTGTAATATAAGTAATATAGTATCCATAAAAAATTCAAACCATTCGAAATATTTGTCATTTAGTTTCGAAATAGACTATTAGTAAGTTAATAATAAATTTACTAATAATGGAAATAAAGTTATTTATAAAGAAAATGTAAAAACTGCAAATTTTTAGTCGCTTAAGGGGTTATATACCTTTTCATATGTCAAAAAATCGATATTTTTCATTACATATATTAAAAGTACATACTATCGAGAATGTTTTCCCAAAATTTTATCAAAATCGGAGCCTTAAACCTAAAGTTACGGCTGTTTTAATCCTCTGGCGCACTGAACAAGTGGAGTAAATTTTGCGTCTGCGCAAAATGTTTGTGTACATCTGCGACCATGGTTGCAATAGTACAGGTTTGAAAAGTTCGCTGGCTTTGGCAACTACGTGGTCGCCTTTTCTAACCTGTACTATTGCAACCATGGTCGCAGATGTACACAAACATTCTGCGCAGACGCAAAATTTAGTCCACTCTTTTAGTATGCCAGAGGATTAAATTTAACACTCCTGATTGGCTCTCGGTGTAGCCAGCCTCATACAACAGCTAGTGCGTGAACGAAGGAACTTAAATTTGAACCAAAATTATTTTTTTTTGGCAAAAAACCAAATTATAAAACCTTAAAATTATGATTCTTGAGGAAAAATCATCGCCATTTCTAGATAAATTTTTTTTAAATCCTTCGTTTACGCACGAGGTAATATAATATACTAACGAAACTTCCATTGTTTTTTAATTTTAGTTAAACTCTGTCTGACTTATCGTAGTCACCGCAAGCAGCTATCAAAAAAGGTGTTTTAGTGCAAGGTTTACAGTTTCCACAATTATTAATATTTTTTATTAAAAATTTATATACAAGTACATCTAAATATGTACTATTCGATAAAAAAACTTCGTTTTAAAAAAATTTTAAACAACAGCTAACAAATTTTTTGAAAATTCCTCTTTTTTGACGCGCGAAAAGGTATATATAACCCCTAAACCTCAAAACTGTTAAAATGGAAGCTTTTTCACGAATGCACTAGGCTCACTGCTTCTAAGTAAATACGTGTATCGCTTCGGAATCAACACAAAAAAGTGTACTGTCAACATGCACGTTTGACCGTACTCAGATCAGCAACATCTACTTGGTGTTCAAAATTACGTAGGGGTGCCCATAACCGGAACATGCACCTTTTTTTCAAGAGACCAACAATTTATGTAGTTTTGATAGTTTGGTCAAATTCAAAATTAAATCACAAAATAAAATGTAAACAGTCCAAAAAAAAGAATTGCACTCACATTTTTTTAATAATTCACACCTATTTAACACACTTGAAAAAAAAGGTAGAAAATCACTTTTGTCTTCATTTTTTTCAAGATATTATGTAAGGATGCCCATAATCGACACTCTTCCCCTACTAAAAATATAGTACTAAACCAGTATAAAACCGGAGCTGTTTTCACCACTGAGCAAACTAAGAAATCAAGTACTATCAAACAGTATTGTATTAGTAGTGAATCGGACGTCAACTCTGATTCATTACGTAAATTTCTGTCTGGATTCTGACTATGAGAAGAATACAGAGATTCATCATCAAACAAACCATAACCATATACAATATTGTAGCCATATGTTATATACAATGATTACTAAATTGTTAAATTTTGTAAAAATTGTTTCCACAAGTTTGGACGTTTACCATTTTATTCTTAACACGAGGCTCCTTCTTCTCTTGAAATTTTTTCATTTATTTACACTACTTTTTCTATTTCTACTGTAAACAACAAAATACAGAAATATTCTTAAAAAGCGCTATATTGCGTAAACTGAATTTACAATGTGAATGTCACACACAAGGAAATGACAAATTAGACTTTTTCTCACACACTCATCGTTTCCTCCATAATTATAATAATTACTAAACACGTAACACATTTGAAATGCACTGAAATTTGTCAAATTCTGGTGCGTTAAATATTATTTTTATAATTTTCAAGATATCATAATGAGCAGAAATATAAAATTTAAAAGTTCTGTGGCTATTTACTGATATTCGGTTTGAAGCAAACGATATTGAAATAAAATTTTCTTATTTTTCCAAATTTCAATAAAGTGCAGCAACCCTGTTCAACGTTGACAAACGGGAATTGTGGAAACACTAAATAAGCAAAAATAATGACAAAACGGTAAAAGTTTTTGTACGCTGATTTTGATTTTTGATGCTAGAGTAATTTTATAAATAGGCAAATGGGTACTTTAAAACCGATAGAAGAGTACACAAAAATTATTTGTTTATAGTAACAGTTTTTCCATGTTTTTTTTAAATAAAAATTTTCAAAAAATTAGTAAATAAACTGATTTTAAAAATCGCGCCGAAATCTTCTTGTCGATTATTTGTTCGGCCATTTGCAATTACGGACAAATGACAATTCATCTGAAAGAAAATTCCATGCAATAAAATTCTACTCAATAAAAATTCTTCAAAATGCCTATTATATTAAATGAAAATTCTGACAAATAGAAATTTAAACAAATAAAATTTCTGTGAAGTCAATTATATTACTTTTGTTATTTTTTATTTTAATTATCAATTTTCGGTTATATAAAAATTCTGTAATATAGAAAATCGGTTTGATGAAAATTCTGCAAAATACTAATTCGAACAAATAAAAATTCGGCTCAAAAGTAATTATGATAAATGAAATTGCATAAAATGAAAATTCTAATTAATGATTTTTGGAACATATTCATGCATCCTGTTGGTTTCATCTTGATACGAAATTGTGGATTCAATATATTTTTAAAATTTATTTAATAGGTACAATTTCAATGCAAAAAATTATTAATTTATTTTATTAAAGGTACAAAAGTACAAACAAAAGTATTTAATAAAATCTAAATTTCGACTACTGTAATGATGTTAACGAAAAAAGACTCAAGAGGGCTCAAGGTAGAAAGAAGTTTTGATGAACTTTGAAATTCACACTTAAGGGGTCTTTCTGGTTTAGAATTAAACAAAAAGAACATTTTTTTAAACTTATATTGTCAAAAAAAGTTTTGGTTTTAGCATTCTATTTAGACAATTGTACATATTACGTGGAGAGAAAAAAAATTTCGTTTAATTGCATTTCTTGGTGACATTTTAAAATGCTAATACAGGCAGAGTTGCCACAATTTCTCTCGAACAAATTTCGATGATTTTACCAGGTTTTCCAGAAAGCATAGCAACCCTGTAATAACATGAGACTGAAGTTACCAACGTTGATTCGACGGAAAAATTTTTTTTTCTTAAAACCGAAAAACAAACTTAAACATTAAACAATATAAAATTCTTAAAATTTGTGAACACAAAAATCACAAAAACAACCCAGGAAAAGCAGTGGTTCTCCATTTTGTTCTTGTTTTTTGGATTTTATGATTTTTTCGCTCTTATGTTAAACCGAAAGCTTAAATCCACTTTAAAGTAACTGACCATTCATTTTTTTGGTCCCTACAACATCCCCAAAAACGAAAAACCAAAAACAAATCGGGGAAAGCAGTGGTTCTCAATATAAATGTAATCGTTTTTTTTGGGAATGTACTGGGCACCAAAAAAATGATTTGTAAGTAAATTTTAAGTGGATCCAAGCTTTTGAATTAACACAAGATCAAAAAATTACCTAAAAAACCAAATCAATCACGTTTATACAGAGAACCAATCATTTCCCGCGTTTTTTTTTTTTTTTCGTTTTTTCGTTTTTGCGGATATACTAGGTAGGGTCAACCGGGGTAAATCCGAACGCTTTTAGTAAGTTTCAACAATAACATAAGTTTTTTCTTTAAAAAAAAAATACTTCCGGTATTCTGGTGCATGAAGTTGTTACTTTACTTCCATAGAACAATTTTATGGGGTAGCAAAAATTTTTGATAAATTACAATCGCAGGAAACTTAGCGTTCGTATTTACCTCGATACTTTGCAACTTTCCTAAAATACCGGGGTAAATACGAACGCCACTGTATTTCAGAAAAATCTTAGGGAAAATAAATTTAAATTATTGCAATTGTTAAACTTATATAAAAACTCAAAAAAATACGATAATAAACCTATTATGTAATAATGCATCATATATAAATACAAAAATCAAACAGGTTAAAAATTAAAATGCATTACACAATTAAAACCTTCAATAACTTTATCAAATCATAACGGATTTTTGCAAAACTTGCTACAGAAAGTATTTTGGAGTGATTGAATGTAAATACAAAAATAAAAGTCAAATTTTTTAAATTCAAAATGGCGGACTTTCCTAAAACTTATTTTTAAAAGTGATCAAATTTGCTAACTCCAAATTCGTAATCAGCGACCCTGAAACCCCGAGTAACAATTTTCAAGCGAATCCAATGAATTTTTTAATTCTCGTCCGCCATTTTGAATTTTGAAAAACTGACTTCAAATTGGTAATTAGCGACCCCAAAAACCGTAGAATACCAAATTTTATTAAGATCCTGAAAAACTTTTTTCAACAAACCATTTGGCAAAAAAATTG